TCATATACAAAAAGTGCTTAGGGTGTTACCTGGCATATGATAATAATAACAGTTACATAAATAAATAAATACACTCTGCCATCATTACTGTTACCGCTACTGAGACTACCTACAGTTCTGGAACAGCCCATGGCCATTTAGCCCCGTGCAAACACATCTGCGAGCCTTCCTTTGGACAGTCTGGTCTGGCCGCCACCACATGTCACTGAGCCACGGGGAGGAGCAGGCCCGGTGCCCGCTCTGCTCACCCGGGGGCTGGAGCGCAGGTTCCTCCTGGATGCGCCGGAAGCCTAACTGCGTCTCCTTGCTCTTTCCCTCTCCCTGCTCATTAGTGTGGAGCGTGTCTTCATGAGGAACCAGCGAGCCTCCAGCCTGCTGTTCCGGAAACCTCTTCAAGACTTTGACTTAGAGCCTGCTATCTTATCAAGCTTACAAACTGTAATGTGTAAAATGATTATTCTCTGCTAGTTAATGTAAAGTTTGATTTTTAGGAAATGTGCCTTTTTTTTAAACATGCACTCCAAACCAGAAGTGTGGTCAGCCCAGCCCGCAGTTTGCACAGTGCCTTCACCACTTTACACGGGCTGATGAGAGACTTCTGGAGTCCCAGAGTGCGTAACCTCGCAGTAGCCTTGTCTAGTAATCGCCTTTAATTCCAGTTAGGGAACTTTCTTCCAAGTTAGCTGTCCCGTCGTGTGACCTTATCTTCAGAACCACATTTAAACCTTTGGGTGATCAGATTTCCCGTCTGTGCCTTCCAGAGAGAACACTACTGTCTCACTCAAATCTGTGACAACGACAGGTTGTGCCTTATTTTCTCCTCTTCTGGTTCCTTATGCGAGAACCTCTACTGTTTATAAGCACTACTGATGCTTTCACTGTGTTTAAAATAAGATGCTGGTAAAGAATTTTTGTTCTTACATTAGATACGAAGATGTTTACTTTCTTGTTACTGTTTTGTATCATATTTTAAAAATATTTTAATCAGAAATAACCTCTTTAAAACATTTTGATAGAACTATGGCTATGACCAAAGTTCCTATTTTGCCAAAAAGTTAAATCCAGTAAAATGCCCTTGAGTCTGCTCCTGACAGATAAATTCCAGAAAGTGACCAATGGAACTCCAGGTGCCCTTCAGAATTCAAGTTGTAATATTGCTTGTGAAGCTTCTACATCCTCAGGCCTTTCTTGCCTTAAAACCCTGCAGGTGTTACAACTCCCCTTCCTAGTCAGCGCGTTTCCTGGGGTTAGAGAAGGTTCCAGCTAGACCCCGACCATCTCGCACCTAGAGACAGATCGCAGAATACAGCCGTGGGCTCCAGTGTGTCTCTGAGGATTATGTGAGCAACAGTGTGTAGCCTTCAAGGAAGACGCTCTGTGAACTGGTCATGAGTTGGCCCAGGCCTCACAGCCTATAGCTTCTTGGAGTTTGTTTCCATTTTTGTTCATATTCCCCTTCCTGAATCTGTCTCCTACATTAGCTCCCCGTTAGCGTTGGTCAGGGTGGCCGACTTCTCACAGGGAAGCTGACCGAGACGCTGTCTGTCTTCGCTGTCACCGACGCAGACTGTCTGCGCAAGATGCTGCTTTGCCACCTGAGAGTTTTGTTGAGACTCAGCATCAGGCTGTGCGGCTCAAGGGCAGGCAGTCAGGTGTGAATGAAGACAGGCAAGGAGGCCCCGAGGGAGGAGCAGAGGTTTACACTCCGCCTGCTGTCCTGGGAGCTCACATGCTAGCCCGGGACTTGCAGAGCAGCGGCAGCTGAGTCCGCCAGGACACGGGTTCCGTTCCTTTGGCATCTGTCCCCCACGGCACTGAAATGAGTGAGAACACGCCCGGCTGTGAGAAGGAAGCAGCCGTCAGTGTAGGGGCGTCAGCCCCTCGGCTCAGGGTCTCTGGCCGCGTCTGACATGGAAACTGTGGTGCTCTCTCCTTGGCCTGTGCTCAGCCCCATGTAACCCACCGGCTCCTGCATTAACCCAGGATACCTCGCTCGTTTCTGCATGTAGCTGGGAACTGCCCACTGTAATGACTTCAATAAAGTGTTTATCAACATCTTTCTGGTCCTGTGTTGCTTATAGAGGAGGAGCTGTGCCTGGCAAAGTCCTAAAAATGGCGTTCCTTGCTGTGCCCCTGCCTCCCTATAATCCCCTACACGCCAGTCCCTCCCTGAGCTCCCTAACTTCCTGTTACCCAGCGTATCCCCATCCGCCAGTGAACAGAGCAAACTACCTTCTTGTGCAGAGTGCTTTTCAGTATAGGAGACGGGGGGACTGGCTTTCTCATGGACACCAAATCCGTCAGCATGTGGCTTCTGAATTCTTAAGTATGTGGTCTTTCAAGGTGCTGTGAGAGCTGGCCGGCGTGTGGGACAGCAGGCCGCTGCCTGCCTGGAACGGGGGGTATCGTTTGGGAGGTGAGGGACACTTCAAACACGTGGTTCCTGTTCTGATTCTGCTTCTCTTTCCCCTTGAACATAGTCTCTTATTCAGCAGCCCCTGGGGAAGCATATCATGCGGTGGAAGTAGACTTAACGTTTACAGTAAAATGTCCGTTTCCATGGTATCTTGTTGGGAGAGAAGAGGTGGACTTTCCCCACTGCCTTGGACAGATGGGCACCTCCTTTTCTTGTCCGACCTGCTATTGTCCTGGAAAAGAATTGTGCCTCTTCTTCAGGTCCTTCTTATCATGAAATCTGTAGAACTTCAGTGCCATTTTCAAGATTTTGAAGGAAATCTACCATGTATGGGCTCCTCTTTCTCTGCCCTCCCTTAAATGTCAGGGTTCCTTGGGGCAGGGTGCTCAGCCAACTTGTCTTTCATTCCACTCACTCTCCGTCATCTATTCCCATGTTTCTGTCATGAACCTACTGATGCCTGGCCTGTTAGACATAGGCCTCCCAACTCAATATGAACCCAACAGCCTCCCACTCCTCTTCTATCTGTATATATAAAGGCCAAGTGACTGGAACCCCAGGACAACCGGCTGCTTTGACAAGCACTGCGGCCCCAATCGGCCCCCCAGCTGCCTGTGGCCCCTCTCCGGCAGCCAGCCTGGCCCCCCATCGGCTCCACCCCACCCTGATCGGGGGCGGGGCCAGCCCGCTGACCTCCTGTGCCCCCTGCCACCCCAGCCCCAATTGGAGTGGGCCGGCTGGACCCCACCTGTGCACAAATTCGTGTACCGGGCCTCTAGTCAATAATAATGTCCATCCAGAGAATGGCTGAGAAATCCAACGGCCTACCTGACAACTCTACTTCTCAAACATAACGTGAAAACGTAACTCTCAGTCTTCCCTCTAAGTTTATGTCCCATCACAAATGGCTCTGCTTACACCAGACTCAGGAGTCACCTTGCTGCTCTCTTCTCATTCCATCCACAGGGCTCTGTGCCCCCAAATGTATCTTCTTGGAATCAAGGCCTCCTAACTTTGAACTATTTCCTGTGCAGCAGTCTGATACAAATCACTGTCTTGCTTAAAACCCGCCCCTTTCCACGACCATTAGAAAGAAATCCAAGTTTCTCTAATAATAAGGCCCACTGTAGTCTGGCCCTTCCTAACTTCTGACCCCAACTGGCACCATCCTCCCCCTCCCTGTTCTCCGGGCAAAGTATCCTGCCTTTCGGTTTCTCACCAGCAAACCTGCTCTATGGCAGGGCCTTCCCCACCCCCTTCACACACCCAGGTTTCAATTTCACCTTCTCAGAGGCCTCCCGGATCCCCTGGCTAATGTGCCTCTTGCCTCCTTCACCCCCAGGCCTGTCCTAGTTACACCTTATCCAGTGGTTCTCAACCTTCTGGCCCTTTAAATACAGTTCCTCATGTTGTGACCCCCAACCATAAAATTATTTTCGTTGCTACTTCATAACTGTCATTTTGCTACTGTTATGAATCATAATGTAAATATCTGATATGCAGGATGGTCTTAGGCGACCCCTGTGAAAGGGTCGTTCGACCGCCAAAGGGGTCGCGACCCACAGGTTGAGAACCGCTGCAAGCTTGTTTCATGTTCTGCACAGCACCTGCCACCTCCTGAACTTTATGGAGTTGTTCATATGTTTTATGTCAATAACATGTGGACTCCCTGAGTGGCCACAACGCTCTCCCCGCCCAGGGGCCACACTCATCCCTACCCAGATATGCATTCAATAAATACTTGAATGAACGCACCCTGACGAAAGAGCTTCAGAGGCGAGTGCGATCTGCCATCATTTGGAAAAATAAGATGGTTTATCCAACACACGGCATGAACCATGGGCACACTTCCCTTCCGATGCAATTCCTTTCGTTCACCCGACAAACACTGAAGATTTCTGATGGACAGGCCCTGGCGAGGGGTGCAGGTCTGCACAGCGCCCTCCATCTCGGATGAGCTGGTGCACCCTCAGCCTCCGGTACTTTAAACGGGCGTCTCCACGCCCCCCTTTCCTGGAGGCGCGCCCTTTACATGCACTGTCTTCCTCCAGGGCCCCGCCCCCTGCTTCCCCGCCATCCTGTCGGGATTGGTCAGCCTCCCGCCCAACCGCGTGACGTAAGGCGCTCTGGGGGCCTTCGCCCCCGCCCACTCGCCTCGGGTTACGTAACCTGGGCGCCCCCGTCCGGACCCCGCCCCTGGACCAATGGGAGCCCGCAGAGCCCGCAGCGGCGGCCAATC